AGAACACGATCTCTTTGGCTTTGACTTCCCATCTCTCTACCTCTGGGTAACAAGGAAATCACGCCCCCTGCCACCCTCCATACCCCCCTCACTTACCAACTCTATAGATGCATGGAACAAAATCGCCAAGAAATTACCTTCATCAATAACCCCACACCTATGACCCCTATCCTGCGCAATAGGGCATTCCCTCCAGGCATGTACCATTATAAGCTGTACCACTTCTTCGCGAGTGGCAGCATAAGATGTACCTTTATAAGCTGTACCACTTCTTCGCAAGTGGCAGCATAATCCCTTATAAAGACTTACCACAACATACCACAGCATACAACACGTATGACTTCAGATACCTCCAGCTTAAAAGCTTCCTAGAACACCCAGAAAACAGGACAGCAGCCGCCACCAAACTTACAACCTATGAAAAAGCTTGCACCCAGAGCCCAGTCCGCAAGGGTCAGATCACAGACAACTACACACTCCTAGTCACTAACCAGCCTTCGGGGGTTCTGGCCTATGTGTCGGTCTGGGAGAGGGACCTGGGACCTCCGCATGAAGCGTCAAGTTGGCAGGATATCTGGGAAGCTACGGCTTCTATCTCTATATGCGTGAATCATAAGGAGCAGGCCTACAAGACCATGCTCCTATGGTACTTAACACCTACATGACTCTACCAAATGGGAAGGTCAGACTCAGACCTCTGCTGGAAACAATGTGGCACAGGAGAACATATATCCACCTCTGGTGGCACTGCCCCAAACTGATCCCACTGAGGGCAGAGGTTGCTAAGCTGGTTTCGGACCTCCTACAAACAAACATCCCACTAGACCTGTGGATTTGGCTCCTCTCTAAACCATGGGACTCCTTAATCAGAGTCCAAAACAAACTGACCAATAGAACAGCCCTGGCAGCGAGACAAACTATAGCGGAGCTCTGGGGCTCACAAAACATACCGACACTACAGACAGTCATTCGCAAAACAAAGGAAGCAATAGGACAGGATCTCAGCAAAAATACATGAAACATCTCACCACTTTTACAAAATTTGGGACTCATGGCTCAACAAGCCGAGTCTCAACTAGAAACATTCAAACCTGATAACCACAACACACTGACTGGCACCACCCCAAAACCTCTGCTACGATACCCACACACGAAGGGGGGAGGTAGGGAGAGACCAACCATCTACCCGATCACCCTCCTCTATAACCATCAAGTACTCTGCCCCCTTCCCGCCTCTACTAGTCTGCCATCATCTGCCTAGTAAAAACCTGACAGAGTGCACTGAACGGTCATGGGATCCCAACTAGGAGGGAGATCGAGTCCTCAACATAGCAGACTGAAATCGAGGGATACCCACACAACGAAGACAAAGGCCAAAGACGTTGGCCCAGATTATGGCCACTGGCCCACAAAGAATCCTAGGCTAGAGTCCTGCAAGCTCAGTGAGCTTTAGGGCACTAAGGCTCTCACACCAGCTAGGCACCATACTGTCTCCGAATTAAACACCTTGGCTTACAACAGGGAACCAATTCTAGCGAGCCGATCTACACTCCGGCCAACAGAGAAGTCTCCTTAACCCATCACGTTGAACCACTATCATGGCATATCTTTTCTTTTTAGTTTTCTTTTTCATTTCTTTTCTTTTTATAGTTCAATTAATGTTTTTGTTAAATTACCTGAAATAAAAAAAAAAAAAATCTGATGAAATGCAGACAAGTCAATTACCGATGTGTGTAATGTTACATGCTCTAACAAACATGACGTTCCCTTCTGTAAAGCAAATGACACAAGTATTGTGAATTGGCTTTTGCATAAGCCTACACTGCCGCATTTCTATCAGTGCAAAAATAAAGAATTTATAGGAAAAAAAAGAAACACCACGATCAACCACACAGCTTCCAGATACTTACCCAATGATGTGGAGGAAGAACAAAAGACAGAGACCAGATTGCCCCAGGTTTACAAGTGATATAGGGGATTTGCTGCTTTTAATTCTAAAAGCACTTCTAAAAAAACACTTCTAAAACAAAAACAAAAAAAACACAGTCTGACCAATTACTCTTCCTATTGTATATGTAAGATAGGCATCTCATTGTATTCCTTCACCCTTGCCCACTGCTGTGTTTATCTTTGTCTGACAGTTGGATATATAAAGATTTACAAAAAAGGAAAAAATAAACATATACATTTTGTTGGGATGTGATTTCGACCTTGAAACTACTAGCTTTAAACAAGCTGATTCGTAGGCTATTTGCACCCTTAATTGGTAGCATGTCGTGGCTCAATATAAAAGCAAAAAGCATACAAATGAGGCAAACATTTCCAACTTTTTTGTTGCTTGGGTGCCTAGGACAGAGTTTCCAGACTGTCAATTCTCTGCATATTATGTTTCACAGAGGGTCAGTTAGTGGCTGAAAGTGCTCAGCTGATGCTTTTTTAGATCAAAGAAAACTTTGATTATTTGTCTATCTACTCCTTTCTAAATTGATTGTGCGCATGTCTTCCGGAAGTAAATCACACCGGACACATTGCAGGTTTATGAAGAACTCCAGAGTGGCCTTTATTCCAGGGGGTGCAATTCCCTTTTAAAGCAGAAATACGTCATGTACAGAGTCACAGTTAACATACAGTATACATTCATCAATTGGTTAACAGTCTAAGGGGTCTTGTCTAAACCCCCCCCTACAGGATGTAGTGTCGTCATTACAGAGTAATCCCACCCATATTTCGGCTCCATCTTGGTTACACGATGGGAGGGGGGAAGTGAGTAGTAGTTACTTTAACAGTGATTCTCCATTTTGTTACACGTGGCACATAGCTGTTACTTTGCACAAAGGAAGTGGGGGAGGAGTTTAATAAAGGAAGCTGTTCTTTTAACACAGGAATTTGTTACATGAGGCTTGCTCGATGGGAAGGGGGGAGGCAAGCAGGATGGGAGGAATTTGCAGAGAAAATAGTGACTGAACACATTGTAGGGGGGAAGGGAATATTTACTCTAGCAGCCAGTTTTAACATAGTGAACACAGAATAAATAGACATTAGTAAATAGCCATTTTATTTTAATTCTTCTGTCCATAACAATGCTCTCAGCCTATGAATGACCAGCCTGTGAATGCAGCTCAGCAGAAGCCAGGTGCATATCATGCAACATCAGCATAGACTTTGCACCAGGTAGGATGGCAATCCATGGCAATTTTTATGTTTTTTAAAGATTTTTTTTTTAACCACTTTAACGAACATTAATGTTTTTGCAAGTATATGAATATATATGCTATTTAATGTTATTGTCTTAGTCAAACAAAACAATTTAAGTTGTTATCCAAATATAAGTGATCAACCTATTAAACTGGAGAGCACTTTACAGTGCCTTCATTATTATCCATGTATTTCTAAAAGGATATATTACAAAATCAAGTTTTGACGTAACTCTGAATTAATATAAAAAGTTATTACAATGAGTAATTCTTTAAGCTTCCAGTACCTTACTTAAGTGTCATCTCAGCTGTTGCTAACAGCTCATTGTGTATACAGAATAAGAACATTCCTCCTCACAAACTTCTGGGCTAAGAAAATGTTAACTGCTTCATCTTTAAAGGGTTACTCCAACCTCAGTTAGCACTTCTGCTTTGTTCATGGAGCAATGAATCTGTCTGTGCAGCGTATCTGCTTGAAACACTGCACATACAGAAATATCTGCAGTTTTTGCTGGGGGAAATTTGCACCCCTGGCACATGTGATTTAGGCAACTTAGAACTCTATTCCAGGGTGCCTAATAGTTCTGTGCTAATATTACATCTGTTGGCAGTGCATACTGGCAACAGATGAATGAGTTTCCCTCTCTCTCCCCTTGTCCACCTTTCCCTCTCTGGCTCAGAACATGGTCATGTGCTCTGAGCATGGAGCTCGGTCCAATCAAGTACTTCTGATGTTTGATGGGTCTTGGAAGAACCTTGCCCGGCACTGGATTCCAGGTAAATCTATTCTTCTTCTACAAGGTTTTTAAATTAAAACACAAGAGGTGGAGCTACTAATACCCAGTAGCTGGATTAAGCTGTCACAAGTGATGCAGTCCAGCAACAGTCATTTATCTGCTCCAGGCTGTGTGATCACAGTGATCACTTGCCTTAGCTTTCAGTTAATAGATTACTTGATTAGCTTTCACAGTAATCAGTCAACCTGGAGGCCATTCTACTAGGCTAATTCATTGTTACAGATAATGTTAGGGTTAGTTAGGGTTAGAATAGTATTGATGTAATGCCAGTCAGTATGGTGACACATTTTATAAAAAAAAGTTTCTCTGTTAAAGGACCACTCTAGGCACCCAGACCACTTCAGCTTAATGAAGTGGTCTGGGTGCCAGGTCCAGCTAGGGTTAACCCATTTTTTCATAAACATAGCAGTTTCAGAGAAACTGCTATGTTTGTGAATGGGTTAAGCCTTCCCCTATTTCCTCTAGTGGCTGTCTCATTGACAGCCACTAGAGGCGCTTGCGTGCTTCTCACTGTGATTTTTCACAGTGAGAGCACGCCAGCGTCCATAGGAAAGCATTGTAAATGCTTTCCTATGCGACCGGCTGAATGCGCGCGCAGCTCTTGCCGCGCGTGCGCATTCAGCCGACGGGGCGGAACGGAGGAGGAGAGAAGGAGGAGAGCTCCCCGCCCAGCGCTGGAAAAGGTAAGTTTAAACCCCTTTCCCCTTTCCAGAGCCGGGCGGGGGTCCCTGAGGGTGGGGGCACCCTCAGGGCACTATAGTGCCAGGAAAACGAGTATGTTTTCCTGGCACTATAGTGGTCCTTTAAGCAGGAGAGGACCACTCCACATTTCCAAAAACCCCACCGTTTAGTAGATATACCCCAAATGAATACATGCATGCATATTTTCATGTATGTATTTGTGACAAAACCCCTGTTGTGGGAATACCGGGTCTCCTGATTTTGTATGCTGTTCGTGCATTTGGCCCTGCTATATTCCCTTTTCATATGCTGTTCGTGAATTTGGCACTATCACATTCCCTTCTAATAAAACTAAACAAAATACCGAACAGTCAGACCCCACACAAGGGGAGTGTGCCGCTTATTAACCACCCAGATGCTGTGGTTAACCACACCTATTTGGCGAACGGCTGGGTGGTCACTGTTCGTATGAGCGAACACGTGGCGACGGCCATCTTAAACTGACGAACGCACAGCGGTGTTTGGTCATCGACAGCATGGAACCATTTTCGGACACTATTTCTCACAAACACCGCTGGGACTTTCAACCTTTAACATTCAAACTCCCGAACGAGACCGACCCCAGATAGCTAAATCCATGGAGCTATTTTTTGAACAGATTTCTAACGAACAGTCGGTAAAAGACTCTTTAGCTCCATGGCGATTTGACTGTGTTCATGGGATCTGAGTGCTGTTCGGCTATATTGAGCACTCAGACCCAAGCTATCTGGGTATATGTCGAATACAGTTGTAAACTGAAAATAATTTCTCTACCTGGAGATAAATGAGTTTACTACAGATACTTAACCCAATTATCTCCGGGATAGATAGGAGGGATTTCAGTGTTTATGTGGGAGTGTTTTATGTTATACTGAATAATGATTGGTTACTGTAACTTGTGTTTCAGTCATCCACAAGGTCCTTGTGGGAGTATACCTTGCTGGGTGACATGCATAAAAGGCCAAGTTGTGGCCATCATTAAACAGATCGTTTTACCCCTTCATGAAGTCTTGGCTCATGTTTGGGGGATTGGGAGCTATAATTCACTACACCTTCTATTCTACTTGGATTTCGGGAGATGCTGCACGGATATACTCAGCTGGAGTGTAAGATATCCGTTACACTGGTGACAAGCGGCGGGATTTTCTCCCGAATGGATATATTGAACCGAAAGAAGGAGTGAATGACCCACAGATACGAACTGCTCAAGCTAGCGACATTAAAGGAACTACTGGAAGCTCGAGGCATAGTGGCAAGCAACAAGCCGGAAGCCACGATAATTGCTGAATTACTTGAGAGTGATATAACTAGCAAGATTGCAGAGGAAACAGAATTCCAAAAAGACGTCAGATGGATACACAGCATTTTGGGGCACAACCCATCACAGGAGATTATTGCACAAATAATGGCACAGGCAACATAAGTGCAGAATTCCCGGGTTCAAGCGACAGCAACGCAACCAGGGGATGTAATGACGCTGCAGAGAGCTGCTAATGGACAGACACGTAAGATCAATTATGCTGCATTTAAAGCCTTTACAGATGGCAAAATGGACATACAGTTATTTGCAGGATTATGAGTGGCAGTGTGCATTAGAGAACCTTGAGAAGGATAGCTGGGCTGCGATATTGAGCAGTAAGCTATCAGGACGAGCAGCAGAAGCCAACAGAGCGGTGCCAGATGAAGAGGTCAAGAACTATGACAAAGTAAAGGAAATACTGCTGGCCCGCTATGCCGTCATGCCGGAAGCATATAGAAAAAAGTTCAGGGGCCTTAGGAAAATGGGCAGAGACTCTTTTGCCGAGTGGGCCTTCTGCATGCACAGCGCTGCCTGCAACTGGATGCAGGGGTGCCAGGCGGCCGCATTGGCAGATGCCTTACAATTATTGCTCCTGGAACATTTCTTTGATTATGTTCCACCAGAAGTTAGAGATCGCGAGCCTCGGACGGTGATAGAGGCTGCTAGAGTAGCCGACGAACACCACGATAGCAGAACAATGGAGAGCAACCGAGCACCTACGGTACCTCGTACTCCCACCTACACCCCAAAACCCACGGCACCGGCTAGACCTAATACATCCCACGCTGCACCAAGCAATCAGGGATACAGAAAGCCACCGCCTATGTGTTTCTGGTGTAACCAAATAGGGCACATCAAGCCTAGTGCCCAGCGCACATCAGCCCGGCACATTGCGTCCAGGAGGACTACAAAAAAGAAACCCAAGGGGGTATTTTGCTTATTCCCCTCCAGACACCACCGAACAATGGTCTGTACAACAATGAGGTAAACCGAGTACATGCCGCTGGAGACAACAGGGCACATCATCGCCAGACTGTCCGCCTAAATGGACAGGAGGCTAGGGGCCTGAGGGACAGCGGAGCCACCATCACATTCCCTTCTAATAAAACTAAACAAAATACCGAACAGTCAGACCCCACACAAAGGGAGTGTGCCGCTTATTAACCACCCAGATGCTGTGGTTAACCACACCTATTTGGCGAACGGCTGGGTGGTCACTGTTCGTATGAGCGAACACGTGGCGACGGCCATCTGGGGGACCTGCATAAAAGGCCAAGCTGTGTCTACTTTTGATTAATAGGGCTGCCAATGTTTTACACAGTGAACTTTCTCCCTTTGGCACTTTTGCTGGTGCTTAGGTACTAAGTGGAGATTTACGAACACCCTATACATTAAAGGGCCAGGACTAATAAAGCCTATATTGCAAACTTTATCCCCTCACTTACTTAGGCATGGGAGTAGACTTATAAGGTTAGTTCGGTATTTATTTTTTGGAGTCAGTTTATTTTTGTGTTGATACTTAATGCTACTTCAGATATGTAGTGGTCTCCCTCTGGTAACATTGTTCCATACCACTGGATGCTTTGGTGCCTACGTCTTTATCTCCAGTCAGCATTATATTCAGCAATGGAAGGATTTCCCTTTATTTTCAACCCACAATGGATTGGGTTGAAAAGAACAGGGGAAATGGTCAGGATGGTGGTACCAGCCCCACCAGAATGGGCTTGAACCCTGAATTAGTAAATGAGAAATACCAAAGAACCATAGATGGGAAAGAAACCCTAGGAGGGAGCTCCCAAAAGCTGGTAAAGATGAAAAAAGAACACAATTATAACGTCAAAGATACCTAGTAAGCTAGCTTGGAGATCAAAATAGTAAGAAAATTGTGTATATATACAAGGATGAAGCACATACATTTCTAAATGGTTGTGTGAAGTATCCTCAAAAAAGAAAAACAACTTTATTTAACCTCTATCAGAAAAAGATACTATAGTAACAATTACCCACATGGTAGTGCTGCTAAATGCTATTTCCCCCAAGTTAACCATAAGGAGAAAAGCTAATGGCTAGTCATTGCTGTAAAAATATGGTGTAAAACAAACTTGTTCAGGAAAAGCACAGCCACAAACAGTCTGTTGAATTGGAAAAGCTCTTTTCATTATTTCTTTCCAGCACTTCTCTGTTTTTATCTTTGTTTTCAATCATCTTTATACATACACAATCATCTCCCAATTTAACCCTTACATAAAAAGGGAAATAAATGACCATATCCAAGATACTGTCACTTTAAGCCTGTGATATTCCTAATACAAGACACATTTATACAGTGATCCAGCAGCACAGGAATGATCAGTATGAGATTTATTGAATATAGCTTTCATTCAATGCTCTTATATTCACTACTGCTTAATGTTTTAATATTGTATCCTGAGTAGTGTTTCTGTTGTAGCTAACTTGACGATTTGGGTGCTGCCTTGGTCACTAACAGTACCGAGACAGCTATCCAGCATGGATAATTCATGCTACTTTTCCAAGCAGCAAAGCTCATTCATGCTTAACAGACAATGGGTAGGAATCCCATAGGTTCCTGGCACTGTCAATCATGTGACATCAAAGACTGGAGATTCCATCCACAGTACCCCCACGTGGACATATAATCGAAACGTCATTGATGACGTGTTCATGTCCGCGAACTGGATTGGTCACGCTACATTTAAATACCCCAGTTTTTTTGGAGACAAATGTTTATCCCCTGACGAAGGACTCTGTGAACTCTGAAACGCGCGTCGGGTTTAGCTCGGCACTTTGCACTTCACTGAGCACGTTACCATGCACTCGTAGGGAATTTCTTATTTTTTCCTCTATGTCCTTTATTTTTGCACCTTTTGTTTTAGTCTGGCTATGTAATTTTTTTACTTGGAGTTCAATTAAGAGGTGTGATCGACATTATATTACAGATTCTAGAGATAGCCTTAGTTTAGAACACTAAGGAGACTGTAGGGAATTAGCATAGCAGTGCTTGTAGCAGTTTTTCCTATGCAACATTGTATTTACCGTTCAAACGCTACATTTTTTTCTGCTTACACCCTTTTAGAAGGATTTGATTACAATCATTACCCACTCTTCGCTCTCCCAACTTAGGCTATCTAATCTACAATAAGGCATCCTGAACTTGTTTGTCCATTCACCTTAGATATTTTCAAGGAACAATTTTGAACACATTAACTAATTATGCTCAAAAGCAAGGCTCTCATTGCATTTGCACCATAAATTTACCGCAATGACTAGCCACTAGCCTTTCTCCTTATGGTTAACTTAGGGGATATAGCATTTAGCAGCACTACCATGCGGGTAATTGTTACTATAGTATCTTTTTCTGATAGAGGTTAAATAAAGTTGTTTTTCTTTTTTGAGGATACTTAGTTTCACACAACCACTTAGAAGTTTATGTGCTTCATCCTTGTATATATAAACCATTTTCTTACTATTTCGATCTCCAAGGTAGCTTACTAGGTATCTTTGACGTTATAATTGTGTTATTTTTTCATCTATGCAAGCTTTTGGGAGCTCCCTTCTAGGGTTGCTTTCCCATCTGTAGTTATTTTGTATCTCTCAGCATTATATTCAGTTTGTGAATTTTTGCTTCTTCGTATGTATTCTTAGTCTGTGTCTCTTGTTCGGGAGCATGTTTCCACCAAACGTCGCTCTTCTCAAGTGAATCCAGTCGAACGAATGAAGAGATGAAGTCCCAGTGGTGTTCGCGCCATCGAGTGTCCGATTATAGTTCCATGCACTCGATGACCAAACACTGCTGTATGTGTTTGCGGCTAAAGATGGCCACCGCCATGTGTTCGCACATACAAATGGACCGACCACCCAGAACTGTTGTGTGCTGCTTATCGCCCTTATTGACTTCGCTAACCCCAACGTTCTAAGTGGTTTGCTGGGTGGCCGTCATTCGTATGGGTTTTAAGGCTCTTCTTAAAAGATGCAAGACTAGGGGAGAGTCTGATGACGGTAGGCAGGCTATTCCATAGGAAGGGAGCCACCCGTGAGAAGTCCTGCAAGCATGAGTTGGCTGTAGTGCAAACAATGGACAGGAGGTGGTCAGGGGCAGAGCGGAGAGACTGAGAAGGGACATACCTATGGATCTGTGAGGAGATATAAGAGGGGTTAGAATTGTTCAGTGCTTTATAGGTGTGAATTAGTACCTTGAATTGACTCCTAAAGGATAAAGGAAGCCAATGTAAGGACTGACAGAGGGGTGACATTTGAGAGAACCGACTAGAGAGGAAAATCAGTCTGGCGGCAGCGTTCATTATGAATTGTAGCGGTGCAGTACGGCTTTTGGGAAAACCAGGAGAGGGTTATAATAATCTGGTGGCAACAGTTGGATGGGTTTCTAGTCCGAGGAGAAGCATCCTGGAGACACCAATGTCGTGTGGATTATAAGTGAAGGCAATGCTAGTATTCATACAGCGCCCCTGTCTACAGCGGTATGGAACCAGCTAGCCCCCGGACAGGATGGGCCAATGTCAGAGGAGCACATACTAGACTACAGAGAGGTCGTTCGAAATGACCTTTGGGACGAAACCCTGGAGGGTGTACAGCGGTGAAAGTCTCCCCAGCGAGGAACAGCAGCTACAGGTACGCGTGGCACTGCAGATGCTTCTCCTGGGAGAGCAGCCCCTGGATGAGTGGGTGACGAAGCTTGAGAAACTGGTAGGTAAGGAACTGTGGCTCAATGACGTGTTACAGGCACTACGGTGGTATGTGTTGCCTGAATGACTAAGCACGACAGGCCCGAGGGTGAGGATTACAATGGCCCTGGTCTGTTATGGGAGGCCTTTGCCGAACCACAATTCGGGAGTGCTGGAGAGTCCCAATTTTAAGGCATACATGACTATAGGGAAGCTTGGCTGGATCTTCCTATAGCTGGTGACCTAGGGCAAGACCTGATCCATCTGGCCACCATGGGTTTGGGTCAAGGGGAGGACAGTAGGTCCCCCCCTCATTGTTATGTATGGCCCCCTCCCGCCATGCAGGAATTGGGGGGCGGTGGTGACAGTTGGTCTCCCCCGTCATTCTTATTTAGGCCCCCCACCCACCACTCAGGGGTGGGGGCCAGGGGGAGGACAGTAGGTCCCCCCTCATTGTTATTTAGGGCCCCCACCTACTGCGCAAGGGTTGGGGTCGGGGGGAGGACAATAGGTCCCCACCCCTTATTTTACTTTAGGGGTGGGGGCCAATAGGTTTTTATTTTTTTTTATTTATTTTTTTACAGTGAGCTGTCACTGGCTGCTCACTGTTTACTAGACATGCCCCTACTCCGGGGTCTCGCCGTCTCTCACCCACCCTGGATCCACGACCAGAATCCAGCTCCCAGTGGGTGAACCTCTCCTAAATTCAGAGAGCGTAGCAGGAACAAATCAAGCTCTTACAAGAGTAAGTGGGGAGTAAGTGATTATAGCAATCCCCAGAGTGTAGGTATCCCTTCCCCCAAGCATGAGCCAAGGCTTCAAGAAAGGTGCAAGTAGGTCTGGTTTATCGAGGGCTACCTGCCTGGTATTTATGCAAGTGTCCATCAGGGAACCTAATGGAACAATGGGACACATATTGGATATTATCTAATCACAGACAATACTGTCATACCTCCTCACGGCCCACGCTCCTCCGGTCCCGCCATCCGCTCTGCCAGCTTCCAACTGACAGAGCACGCGCGGCTTGCCGCTGAAATCTTAAAGCGATACTACCGTTATTGCATGAATCCTGGTAACCCTTTTTATAATCTCTCCTATTCTCTTCCTTAGCCTATCAGATCTCTCTTAGCCCTATTTATACCTCCCTCCTACAAAACTTCCTTGTCCTGTCGTGGTCTATTGTAGCCCGAGAGTTCTGTATACTTGTGTGTTTCTTGGTATCTGACTAAGGCTTGTCTCTGCTTATCCGTAATTTCTGTTTTCCTTGACCCTTGGCTTTGTTTCTTGTTTATTCTTCCTTCTCCTGCCCTGACCTCGGCTCTTCTGAGTATTCTGTTACTCTCCTTACTTTTCTTCACGTTAAGTCCGGCCACTTTAAGGACCGGTAATACGTCTAGCTTGGGTTGCCTGTTAGTCCTATAGTTAGTGTGTTGGGGAACCTAACCTTGACATTACGACAGGGCCATGAACCCTGCAAACTTGGGACAACAAATGGCAGCCTGTGAATGCAGAATGGAGGGTTTGGATCATAGAATGGATCAGTTTGCTCAAGCACTGCAAACTATCCTTACAAGAACAGCACATCTCCAGCAAGAAGGAGAGGGGGCTGGCACTCAAAGCACTGTATCTTTACCATCCACGCCTCATTCTAATCCTTCCATTCGCTTAACCCCGCCTCCCCGTTACTCTGGGGATCCGTCTTTATGCAGAGGTTTTCTGAACCAAGTGGGAGTACATTTTGAAATGGCTCCTCATTCTTTTCCCACCAATAGATCCAAAATAGCTTTTATTATGAATCTGTTTGAGGAAAAGCCTTAGCCTGGATAAATCCTCTATGGAAGAGGGATGATCGTATATGATCTTGATCTATTCCTAAGAACTTTTAAATATGTATTCAACCCTCCGGATAGGAAAAGATTAGCCGCAAAGGCCTTATTGAAATTAAAACAGGGTTCCAGATCAGTGGCCGACTACGCCATTAAATTCCATACCTTAGCTTCTGAACTTACTTGGAACAATAGTGCCTTGACAGCTGTCTTCTTTGCAAGATGAGGTGGCAGCCAGAGATCTACCAGAAGACCTTGAAGAGTTAATTCAATACATGTCAGATATTGACATAAGAGTCAGACAGAAACTTATCCATTTAGAGAGGCAAAGAAGGGTTCTAGGAAGAATCACGCCCCACCCTAGGCTAACTGAACAGCACCTGATTCTGATCCTGAACCTATGCAGTTGGGTACAACCCGACTTTCTGAGGCTGAAAAAACTTACAGAAGGAGAGAGGGGTTGTGCCTATACTATGGCAAGAAGGGGCATCTATGTAATAATTGCCCATCCCGTCCGGAAAACTCCACCGCCTAAGATCGTTCAGGGGACCAGCCTTGGGTGTAATGTCTTTGTCCCCTAAACCTCCTACATACAGTGTCTTATGCCTGTAACCCTTTCTTGGGGAAAGGTATGTCATCAAGCTATGGCCCTCATTGATTCTGGTTCTGCTGACAACTTAATTGTACTTGTCATCTATTTCTCTTCCTTTTGAGAGGAGAAAAACACCCTTGGCCGTTGAGGCCATAGATGGTAGACCTTTAACAGTCCCATATGTGACACACCAAACTAAGACTGTTATCTTGTTAGTAGGGGCTATGCATAGAGAAAACATAATATTCCAAGTCATTTCTTCTCCTTCTTGCTCTCTAGTTCTTTGTCTAACCTGGTTACAGAAACACAATCCTGTTATAGACTGGAGAGAAAGACAGGTATTATCTTGGAGTCCTTGTATGCATACGTGCATTAACCAGGTTAAAACGCTCTGTTCTCTCAATATTCCTACCTCTCCTCCACTCTCCACTGTTTTACCTCCTCAGTATATGGATCTCAAGAAAGTATTTGAAAAGGTCGAGGCTGATCATCTACACCCTCACAGGCCTTACGATTGTGCCATCAAACTCCTTCCAGTTACTATGCCACCTAAGGGAAGAGTCTATCTAAAATTGAGAATAAAGTAATGGAAGAATATATACAAGAATCCTTAAGAAAAGGATTTATTAGATGTTATTCCTCCCCTGCAGGGGCTGGTTTCTATTTTGTTTCGAAAAAAGAGTGGGATCTTCGCCTCTGCATAGATTATAGGGGACTAAACAGAATTAATTTTAAGAATGCTTATCCCATACCATTGAGCTTTTTTGACCATCTTCGTGGGTCTAAGTTTTTGACTAAGTTGGATCTAAGGGATGCATATAATCTTGTTCGCATCAAAGAGGGAGATGAATGGATGACGGCATTCAACACACGAAGTGGTCATTATGAATACACAGTAATGCCCTTCGGTTTGTGTAACGCTCCTGCCGTCTTCCAGGATCTCATTAATGATGTCCTTAGAGACTATTTACATACATGTGCCATAGTATATCTTGATGATATACTCATCCACTCTCCTGATATTCTAACCCATCACAGACAAGTCAGGAAAATACTACAGACACTTCTTGCCAACGGTCGATTGTGTAAACTTGAAAAATGTTTATTCGATCAAACCTCCATACATTTCTTAGGTTACGTGATCTCTGCTAAGGGTTTTCAAATGGATCCTAAAAAACTCTCCTCGATTATTGAATGGCCTTTACCCCTCGGATTAAAATCAATACAAAGATTTATTGGATGCGCAAATTACTATAGACTGTTCATTAAAAACTTTTCTCAGATTAAAGCTCCTATTACCACTATGACCAAAAAAGGAGCTAATCATATCAATTGGTCTCATGAAGCTAAAACTTCCTACGCTCATTTAAAGGAAGCGTTTGTATCAGCTCCAGTCTTGATGCATCCTAATTCCTCTAGACCCTTTATCCTAGAGGTAGATGCCTCCGAATCTGGTGTAGGGGCTGTACTTTCCCAGAGGGCTTCTCCTACGGCTCTGTTACATCCATGTAGGTTCTTTTCTCATAAATTGACACCTGCAGAAAAGAATTATGATATAGGTAATAGAGAATTATTAGCTATAATTCTTGCACTTAAAGAATGGCATCACTTACTGGAAGGGTCCTCGGTACCTCTCATGATTCTCACTGATCATAAGAACTTATCATATCTAAGTGACGCTAAAAGGCTTTCTTCCAGACAAGCACTCTGGGCTCTTTTGCTCTCCTGTTTCAACTATCTGATTTCATATCGGACGGGAAATCGAAACAGTAAAGCCGACTCACTGTCCAGACAGTTTATCTCCCAGGACAGAGGCAAGACTTTATTAACCACATTGTAACATTGCGTAATTTTATGTCTTTTTGTAACCATTACTACATATCCCGAGATAGCTTAAATCTGAGCGCACATTATTACCGAATGGCTCTCAGATCACCTACATACAGTTCAATCGCCATGGAGCCAAAGTCTTTTCCATAGTCTTTCGTTACACAAATAGGCTTCATGGCATAGCTATCTGGGGTAGCACTACTCACATACTGAAAGTCCCGAATGCCCAGGCAGAAATACACAAATAAACCTTTCTGCAGGGTAAAATACAGCTATCAGCACAGGGGCCATATTCAGAAGGCAGGAGGCTAGCCAGTAGTCCCCTCCTGGCACAAGTGGTGAAGGGCACTTTGTCACAGACAGTAATATACCGAAACGTGTGGATTGTTCCCGATCGGTGTGCTATTACTTTATGGAACGTTTCGCCGAATGGTTCACGAAATATCGTCGTTTTTATGGCGAAATTTGTCCCATAGGAATGGATGGCGGAATGTTCAAAACTAGAGTGGGAGCTGACAAAAGCTAGAGTGTGAGCTGAAAACTCATGACATGATTTCTAAACTGCCACCACTCCCTTATTTTCAAGCCCACCTACACAAATCTTATATCCAAACGTTCAGCTATCCCTGCTGCCACTAAAAATGTCCACAGCTAAGCCATAGTCCTGATAGTTTTCACAATATGACCATTTATTTGCAACTCACCATTGACATTAATTGACATTCATTGAAACTCCACTCTAGCCACCTCAAATTTGAAGGGAAATTTCTAAACTGTGACTGTGCTTTTAATATTTCAGAGACATACTATGCGTCAAAATATAGGTCAGGGTCTTGTGATTCTCACAATATAAAGCTCTTCACTGTAGGATTTATAGTTTTTAAAACTACAACCGTTTGAAAATGGCAACCGCCAGTGAAGTGAGCAATTTGGAGCAGTTTGTTTTTAACCGCTCTTCTCTGCCCTTGCTGTAGAGTGAGTTGCCATAGGAACCCAGGTGTGTGAGCAGCCAGCAGTGTGTTCCGGAACACAGAGGCTGCTAGATGAAACACATTCTCTAAACTGCTGTCAATCCTACAGTTTTGATAACACAAAAGTGAGCACTATCACATTTAATAAATATATTTCCATGTTAGTCAATTCGTTATACCTGTAACAGAAAAACAGTAACATACAATGTTACAACAATACAGCTAATCAATGTTTCATAAAGTTACTCTGCCCAGTCCAACCTTTCCAGAGTTACTCTAGCCACTCCACCCAGTTACTCCGCCCACTCCAGTTTTAGACTACTGGTGGAGGCAAGAACTTCACATGATTTCCCCAGAAATTGTAGCTTTTCTAGTTATTTTTGTATTTATTTATTTTGTCCATGGTAGTTGCAAATAAAAAGTGTCCTTGTGTGGTTCTTTCAACTTCACTTAAGTCTCTTTCTAATGATTCTTCATCATAGCCCTTCTCTAGAAACAGTTTTTTCAAATAATTGGCTTGTTCTATGAAGTCTGAATTTTGTTTGCAATTCCGTCAAATTCTAATAAATTGTCCCCTAGGGACATTATCCAGCCACGGTCTATGATGGCAACTAGTTTTTTCTATGTATCCTTTGGCATCTACTGGTTTAAAAAAAAATAAAAAAATTGTGACAATTGTTGAGTCTTGGATGCTGAAATGCAAATCTAAAAAAATGATTTAAATAGAGCTGATGGCACTGGTACATTTTATTCCCCAGTCATTGGAGTTAAGATATTTTATAAAATCATTGAGTTCTACTCTCGTTCCTGTCCATTTAAAAAAGATATCATCTATAAATCGATAATATGACCCCAAGTTTGTCACCCAGCCATGGCTTTACATTACATATTTTTCTTCCCAAAAAGCCATACAAAAATTTGCATAACTAGGGGCAAACTTGGTGGCCATTGCTGTACCGCATATCTGCATATAAAAACTATCCTCACACCAAAAAAAGTTGTTAGTTAAAATAAGTAAAATTCCTTCTAAAATAAAAAGTCTGTTCTTCCTTAAAATTGAATTTTGTTAAAAAAATGTTTCACTGCTTCTATTCCTATGTTATGTGGAATAATGCTGTAGGGAGGCAGATTTTGAAGTGTGCCATTTTTAAGTATTTATTTACCTTCATTTTTAAGATAAAGTACACTTTTAATTTAATTAGGAATATGCTAATATAACAACATAATTGCCCTATAATATTTAATTATTTTAGGACCAAATACTAAATAGATTTTACATTGAGGATCATGTCAAGAGGTATTTTCCCTTTTCAGTTTACTTATTACATACATTTCATAATTATAATCTACAGGCTAGTATTTACAAATGTACCTTTTTAATTTACAATTGTTCCTTTTTCACTTATTAATGAACCCTTCCATAAGAATATATATAGAATACTTAGCTTGTACTCCCTATTAAATATTGATTAGATTTGTATGCAATATGTCACCTATTATATATGCCATTGTTAGAATTGTCTGTTTTACTTTTGGGGAGGTATATCAAAGATCTCACTATCCCCATTTTCCTTTTTTGAATATATGGTATTTCGTTATTGACTAATTGCACTGTGGAGCGGATGGTGGAACGCAAATATGTGTTCCAAATAGAAACACGCGAGAAGGAAATAATGAGGATTGAAATGGAATGCAGGGTTGTGTTCCAGCTACCGGAAGCACGTCAGACGCAGGCTAACACTGCGCACGCACACCCGGAAGTGAGGATACTGATCCGGAATTGAAGACACCAAATAAAACGGTGGCAATTTAAAGATTCAAAAGACAGCAGGAAACCCTGTACTACAGCAACTGAGGAAGCCCCCAGGAAGGGTGAAACTCGTTTTGCTTGCACTTTACAAGGACTTACCTATGTATTGTAAGGACTTTTAAACCTTGTTTATATTTGTTTTATATACTTTTAATACTGATTGGCGAAATAAAGCACTTGCAAAGATTACTGGAGCAGTGATTGTTACTGAAGAGTGATCCTACTCATGACATTCTCTTTTTCACCCGATAGAACAAACAATTTAGCTGGTGGTTTGTTGCATGGTACCTGAGACTGAGCCTCCATTATAGCACCAAGCAAAGGAGAAGATAGTGAAAGAACAGTGGAAGCGATGATACACTCATGTGTCACAGTAGGGGATGTCTCGTGTTCCTGTATAGATTCAGTATCAAACTGTCTAGATATCTGATAATCTGATTCCCAATGGGACATGAAAAGATTGACGTAACTGGGGGCAAACCTGGTGCCTATTGCCGTGCCACATATCTGAAGGTAAAATTGATCTTTAAACCAAAAATAATTATTGGTTACACGGTACGTGAATATGCATCAAAGCACTAAGTTTTTGGGACCAGGTCTGTAAGTTATAAGAAAGTTAAAGCGAGACAGAAACAAAGACCATCTAGCCTGTCTAGAAGACAGTCATTTAGTATCTGTGAACAAGAAACCGTGCTAAGTGCACTTATGCTTTACCAGTGTTTTTGTATAACAGCCGCTTCACACTCTAAGGGGAGTCTCCCTCACCCCTTGTGATAATGGAATGGTGAAAAAAATATATAATATATGCCATAGATCGGATACAGACCTCTACCAGGACATATACTATAGTGGAGCGCTTCAGTGATTTTATTGTAAGTATTTTACTCACATACAATGTGTATATTAGACGATATCCAGATATAAAGGGAAAAAGAGAGAAGGTAACATAGTATAATTCTGTTATATATGTATTACCACAACCATAAGTAAGTGGGGGTTAAACTCATAAGAGCCTTATGGGAGGATAGGCTCAAATCACACACGCTTCTGTGCCGTCTGGTGGCACTTTACCCTTTTTGTCGTATAAACGATAATCCTCAAAAGAGATAGAGAACTCTCTGGTGAAGTATTTCTCAGCAAGAATAAACTGGAACAAAAATTAAAATGGTTTGCTCACCTTTTCTAGAGCCTAATATGCCTGGCTCTAGGTATGATCACTTTGGTGTCTGTATAGGGGACACCCACCCTTCTTTGTGTGGAAGCAGTAGTCTAAGCAGCCAAAAGTGGACTCAGAAAAGTGTATTTTATTCAATATAAACAAAATTTAAAATAAAGTATAAAATAACATAAAATACCAAATAGTAGAGTATATAAAAAATGTCCACATAAGACTCCTTTTCCGAGACGCGTTTCTCCCAGTTCCCTGGGCTTTCTCAATCTTAATTGGTCTGTTGACTTTCCTGCTTCCTCCTTTGTATTATATATTCCTTATTCACATCCTCATTGGTCCATTTAAAAGGTAATTATCCAATCTTTTAACGTGTTCAATCATTATGTGCAAGGTGTATCCTAATGGTGGACGTAGATGCCTTGCCCTACCTGTCATTTCCGGTTCTCGTACGTCCTTTTCCCATAAGGGTATTGGGACGTAACTGGTTGTTACCGGAAGTGATGTATTAGGTTGGGCTCTGCATCATCCTTCCGTTTGTATGCCCGATGTCAGTCGGGAAATGTAGTCCATGCAATCGCATCAAACTTAGTTCTTTGATGCATATTCACGTACCGTGTAACCAATAATTATTTTTGGTTTAAAGATCAATTTTACCTTCAGATATGTGGCACGGCAATAGGCACCAGGTTTGCCCCCAGTTACGTCAATCTTTTCATGTCCCATTGGGAATCAGATTATGTGTATGGGAATACAAGCTGGGGACAAACCTGGTGCTGTACCATCACTACATTGACAATATATTTTTTGTTTGGAAAGGGGATGAAATCTCACTTAATAATTTTTTAACGTTTTTAAACTAAAACGAATGGGGCATATCTCTCACGAGTGAATATAGTAACTCGGCGGTGAGCTACTTGGATTTTAAGATTTACATAGAAGACAAAAAGGTCAAAACTTGCCCATATTTCAAGCCTGTTCATGTGAACAGCTACATAGTAAGAGTACAAATACAAAGAAACAAGTCCTGCGCTCAAACTCCCATTACTCCTGGGCGGCAGCAATGACTATAGTACACATCAGCTAAAATACAAATAGTAAAAACCAAAGAAAAAAAAAAGGGTTACCTGCGTGTAACGGACCGTTTCTCTCACAAGAGGATAAAAACCATTTAGGCGATAATCCCCTTTCCCATAGACCAGCAGCTATTGCAATCACCAACCTCCCGAACTCCAAACTGTACGAATCCCCAACTCACGAACAAGAAATACACGAACTCTGGAAGCAGCCGAACAGGAAAAGCCATACGAACGGCTTACACTCCTGGCAGTCAGCACACAATCCAATTCCCCCAATAACAAGACGACACTTCGTTTTGAGGGTTAAGCAGAATCTAATCGATTTATTCACACAGCCTCCTTTTAAGACATTCTCCCATGCAAGGGAGGGATCCACAACAATTAGTACCTCAGCCAATAATGTACCAGTTACCTCCCACACATCTCCTCCCCTTAGTGTGACACATAATCCCATTAGTACAGACACAAATTCCCTGGGATACTGGATGTACCCCTAAACATAGGAATACCCCTTTAAATGTTACATCCCCTGGTAACCCTGATCTGGGTGAGACACATATCCAAAAATCACCCAGATCGGACCAGGGGTTCAGGAATTATAAAGGGTTAAAGTTTTGACCG